TGCATCCGCTACTTAAAATTTTAAGGAACTAATGTAAAATTTATAATCAATGACTCAGCGAAAAGCTCTGAGTATAATCAGTTTCAACCTAAACTGACCAATTTTAAAATATTGTCCGCCATTTTGAATTTTAAAAAACTGATTAATCAACGTCCTTAAAAAGCTTGGGTTACAAAAGTTTTATAAAAATATATTAAAAATCTTTTTAACGCACTTTTGGGCCAAACAGTAAAAATCTCGTCGACATGCAACGGGTTAAAATTCGTACACTGTAAAAAAGAGTAAACAGGGTTGCCACGCTTTTTCTCATTTCAAATTCCTTGACTTTTTCAGGTTTTCCAGAAAAATTTTTTTGTTAAAAATCGGAATTTTTCCAAGTTTTTAAAACTACATTTATATTTTACAAAATTTTTAATTCAAACCTTTGTGAAATTAAACAACTTATAAAAAAATTGTTATAAAACATAAAGAAATCGATCACTGCGAGTCTTCGACTCGGACCAATCGATTTTTTTATGTTTTATAATAATTAAAAATTACTTCAATCATTTCAATTATTCAATTATTGTTTTCCAGAATTTTTAACTAAAATTCTTTTTTACATTAATTATTATTAATAATTTTTGAAACATTTTTTTGAACATTTTCAAATCCTTTTGTTTAAACATCAGAAAAAAGGAAGAAGATATAAGCAGGAGGATGAATGAAAAAATGGAGAAGGTATGGGGGGAGATGGGGAAAATAAGAGAAATGTGGGTAAAGCATGAAGAAGAATGGAGAAAAGAGAAAGAACAGGTATGGGATAAACTAGACGGATTAGAGGAAGGATTTAAGGAAAGGGAAAAAGAAAAGGTGGAAGAATTTAAGAAAATTGAGGAAAAATTAGAAAAATTGAGTGATCTCGAAAAAAGGGTGGGGAAAATAGAAAAAAGGGAAGAAGAGAGGGGGAAAAGTGTGGATGAGGAAGGTGCTTCAGGAGGCGAGCACGTAATCGAAAAGAGATTAGGGGAAATTGAAAGGAAAATGGAAGGGGTTGAGAAAGAAAGAAGAAGAGAAAGGATTGTGGTAAAGGGGTTGGAAGTGGAAAAGAGTGAGGTTAAAGAAGAAGTGGAAAAAATAATGAAGGATATTGGAGTGGAAGTGCACATAAAGGGTATAAGGGGGGCTGGAGGTGAAAACAGGGATAAGCCGAGTGTATGGATAGTAGAGTTAGGAAGCGAAGAGGAAAAATGGGAGGTAATGAAGGCGAAAAATAAGTTAAGGGGTAAACCTGTAAAAATTGATGAGGATAAGACCTACAGGGAGAGAAGGATTGGGTGGCTTTTGGCAAGGAAAGCGAGGGAGGAGAGGGAAAAAGGGAGTTGGGTAAAATGGGGAAGGGAATGTTTATGGATTAATGGGAAGAAGTGGATAGTTAAAGAAGAGGATGGAGAAGTGGTAGAAGAGGAAAGAGAAATGGGGTTTGGAGAATAGCGAACAGGAGAGGGGAGGAAGGAGGGAGAAGAGGGAGGGAAGGGGAATTAAATAGGAAGATAAAAGTTGTTTTTTGGAACGTATCGGGGTTGGGAAATAAAGATGAAGGGTTTTGGAAAACATTAGGAGGGTGGGACATAATATTTTTGAGTGAGACGTGGGTAGAAGAGAAAGACTGGGATAAAATTAAAAGAAGTTGCCTAAGAATTTTACATGGAGAATGCAAGGGGCAAAAAGGGATAATAAAAAGGGGAGAAGTGCAGGGGGGATGTTGTCAGGAATAAGAAATGGAATAGAAGAGGAAAGTCTGAAGGAAGGAACCAAGGAGGTGGAGGGATGTATGGCAAGAAGGGTAAAAAAAGGAGAGGAATATATTTCGATTGTGGGAATCTATAGGAGAAGAGGTGAGGATGTGGGATGGGGGGTGATAGAAAATTGGATGGAATGGGGAAGGGACGAGAAAGTATTGATTGGGGGGGATTTAAATGCGTGGACGGGAGAAAAAGGTGGCAGTATATGGGATGAAGAGGAGGAAAAGTACGTAAGAAAGTCCAAACACGGTGAGCTAGATAAAGAAGGGAAAAAGATGCTCAGGATATTAGCGGAAAGGGGATGGACAATTGTAAATGGGAATGTAAAGGGGGATGAGGAGGGTGAATTTACATACGTAGGAAGGGGAAATACGGTGATCGATTATGTTCTGGCAGAAGAAAAGGTAAGGGAAATAATCAGCAGTATGAAGGTAGGGATTGAGGTGGGTTCGGAGCATTTTCCACTAATAGTGGAGTTGGAGGGGGTAGAGGGCAGGGATAGAAGGAGGCAAGAAAGAAAAATGAACAGAAAGATAAAAATGGGGGATTGGGGGCAAGAACAATTAAGGGAGTATGAAGAAAGGAGGAAGGAGCGACAAGAGAAGAAGCAGTTAGGGATGTAAACGAAAGGATTCAAAGGTTAAGAGAGATAATCGAGAAGGTAAAAGGGGAAATAAAGGCAGAAGGAGCGAAGGAGAGCAATAAAAAGGGTTGGTGGGATGAAGAATGTGAAAGAAGCAGAAAAGAGTTGAGAGAGCATATAAGAGCATGGAGAAAAGGATGGATAGAGAAGAAGTTGTACAACAAGAGGCACAAGATGCATGAAAAGCTGTTGAAGGAGAAAAGAGAAGCGGAAAGAAGAAGATACATGGAGGAAATAGAAAAAGCTGTGGCAGAGGGTAAGGTGTGGGAAGTAATAAATAGGGAAAGAAAAAAGTGGGAGGGAATAAATAAGGATATAAAAATAGAGGAATGGACGGAGTATTTTAAAAGTTTAAGCGGGGGCATAGAAAAAAGAATTAGAGGAGAAGGCAGAAGGCAGACGGGAAATAAGGAGGGTACAGGAATAAGTATGGGGGAGGTAGAAGAGGCGATAGGAAGGATAAAAAGAGGAAAGGCGGCAGGGGGGGATGGTTTGGAAGGGGAGGGTTTAAAATACGGGGGAGAATGGGTTAAAAAGGAAATGTGTAAAGTGGTGAATGAGGTGTGGGAGGGAAAGGGGTGGCCTGAGGAGTGGAAAACAGGGCTAATAGTACCAATCAAGAAGAAAGGAGAAGGGAAAAGGGTAGATGAATATAGAGGGGTCACCTTGATGCCGGTGGGATACAAGGTGTACGCGGAGATTCTGAGGAAGAGGTTGGAAAAGAGAGTGGGAGAACTTGGATGCATACCTGACAATCAGACAGGATTCAGAAGAGGAATGGGGACGATTGACAATATCTATGTATTGAATTTTTTAATAAATAGAAATCTAAGAAGGGATAAGGGTAAATTGGTTGCGGTTTTCGTAGATTTTAAGGCGGCGTTCCCGTCAGTAAACAGGGGAATTCTGTGGAAGGTTTTAAAAGAAAAAGGAATTGAGGAAGACTTGGTGGAAAGAGTTAAGGAAATGTACGTAGACACAAGGGAAAGAGTAAAAATTGGAGAGGAGTTGGGAGAAGAATTTTGGTTGGGAAGAGGACTTAGGCAGGGATGCCCATTGAGCCCAATATTGTTCAACCTGCTAATAGCAGACGTAGAAGAGAGGTTGTCAAAGAGGGGAAAAGGGGGAGTAATATTGGGAAATGGTAGGGTATTCTCGCTAGCCTACGCGGATGATATGGTGTTAATGGCAGATGATGAGAGAGGAATGAAATTAATGTTGAATGAATTTGAGAAGTATGTTAGAGATAAAGACTTATGTATAAATGTGGGAAAGACGAAAGTGATGAGGTTTAGAAAGAGAAGAAAGTGTGAGAAAGAAGTATGGAAGTTGAATGGAAGTAGCATAGATGAAGTGAATGAGTTTTGTTATCTCGGATACTGGCTGCAGTTTAACGGGAAACAAGGTTTGAATGCGGAAAGAAGAGTGGAAAAGGCAGGAAAGATTATGGGAAAAGTGTGGAGCATAGGTATGAGGAGATTTAAGAATGATTGGAGAAGAAGAGTGTGGATGTTTGATATGCTAGTGTGGTCAGTCTTAGGGTATGGAGTGGAAATTTGGGGTTGGAAAGAAGTCAGCAGTATGGAAAGTATGCATGAGAGATATTTAAGATGGACAATGGGGTTAAATCGAAGCTGTCCGGGGTACATGCTAAGAGAGGAAGTTGAGAGAGAGAAAATGGTAGTAAGGCAGAGAAAAAGAGCGATTGGTTTAGAGAGAAAGTTTGCGGAGGGGAAGGGAAGTGGGCTAGCGAGAAGATGTTGGGAACTTATTAAAAGGGAGGAGGGAAAGGGAGGGAAAAGTATGACTATCTGGGAAAAGGAAAGATGGGGAGCATTGGGAGAGATAGGAGAGAGGGAGGAAAGCGTTGAGAAAATAATTGGGAAGTGGAATAAGAAGGACAGGGAAAATAGATGGAAAAAGATTAGAGAGTCCAGATATAATAGGTGGTACAAAATGGTCAAGGAAGAAGGGTTGCCGAAATATTTAGTGAAAATAAGGGATGAAAGGAAAAGGAATAGAGTGTTAAGGTTCAGAATGGGAGAGGGAATGAATGAGTGTAAGTATTGGATGAGTGAGGATGAAAGATTGTGTAGAGTGTGTAAATTTGAAATTGAGGACTGGGAGCATGTGTTGGATAGATGTGGAAGAGAGGAAGGATATGAGGAAAGAAGTATAAGTGAACGGGTATGTATGGTGTTAAGTGGAAATGGGGAGGGAGAGAAATGGATGAAAGAAATAGAAAAAACTAGAGCGAGGGTGGGAACGTAGAAATAATTCTTAGTTTTATAATTGACGAAGCCAAATTGGGCACAAAGAAGCTGGAAACGGAAACCCAGGCACTTGGCAGATAGATTTAGTTTTTATATTAGGTTAAGGTTAAAATGTTAGAATTGTAAGTTATCTTTAAGGTTTTTTTGGTATTGGAAGTTTTGCCTCGAACCCTGCGGCTTGTGCAGGGAGAGAGTAATAAATAAAAAAAAAAAAAAAAAAAAAACTGATTAATCAACGTCCTTAAAAAGCTTGGGTTACAAAAGTTTTATAAAAATATATTAAAAATCTTTTTAACGCACTTTTGGGCCAAACAGTAAAAATCTCGTCGACATGCAACGGGTTAAAATTCGTACACTGTAAAAAAGAGTAAACAGGGTTGCCACGCTTTTTCTCATTTCAAATTCCTTGACTTTTTCAGGTTTTCCAGAAAAATTTTTTTGTTAAAAATCGGAATTTTTCCAAGTTTTTAAAACTACATTTATATTTTACAAAATTTTTAATTCAAACCTTTGTGAAATTAAACAACTTATAAAAAAATTGTTATAAAACATAAAGAAATCGATCACTGCGAGTCTTCGACTCGGACCAATCGATTTTTTTATGTTTTATAATAATTAAAAATTACTTCAATCATTTCAATTATTCAATTATTGTTTTCCATAATTTTTAACTAAAATTCTTTTTTACATTAATTATTATTAATAATTTTTGAAACATTTTTTTGAACATTTTCAAATCCTTTTGTTTAAACATCAATTTTACGAAATTTCATCGATTATTCGGAAATTCCTCAAACAAATATATATATTAGAAAAAAAACTTCAAATAACTTGAAAAAAATTAAATTGAACTTTGTTAAAACAATTTTGAAATTGAAACACAATTTTAAGTTAAAAGTATGAAAAATTCAAACATTCAAAGATTATAATTTGAAACATTTTAAAAACTCAATTATTATCTAAAGTTTTAACTGAAATTCTAATTTGAATCAATTATTATTAGAAAATTCTACGACAATTCAATTATTTAAATAAAAAAAATAATTTATTGAAGAATTAAATGTTTTTTAAAATTGAACTCTCATTTAAAGAATTTTATCAACAAATGTTTAAATAGGTAATTAAAATTCTTTTGAAGAATTTCAATAAAATTCTTTTGAAGAATTTCAATAAAATTTTTAAGAATAATTTCATTTTTCGAGAAATTAGATTAAAATTGCATTAAAAATAATTGAATCTCCGTAAAAAATTTGATTGAATTGAGAAAAGTTTTTGAAAATAATTGAAATTTTGACAAGAATTTTATTAAAATTTTTGAAAATAATTTGAAATATTGCCAAGATTATTATTAACATTTTTAAAAATAATTGAATTTTGAAGAAAAATTTTTATATTTATAAAAATAATTGAAATTTTGACAATAAATTTTTTAAACTTTTGATCATAATATTGAATTTCTGGGAAGAATTTTATTACTTTTGAAAATAATGGAATTCTTGAGACGAATTTTTTAATAATATTTCTTTTTAAATACCTAATTATTTTTAATACAAAAATAAATAATTTATCGAATAATTGAATGCTTCTTAAAATTGAATTCTCATAAAGAATTTTATGAACAAATTTTTAAATAATTAAATTCTTTTGACGAATTTTAATAAAATTTTAAGAATAATTACATTTTTCGTTGAATTCGATTAAAATTGTATCGAACATAATTGAAATTCTGCAATGAGTTTTATTATTTATGAAAATAATAATTGAATACCTGTAAAAAATTGTATTACATATTTATAAAAATAATTGAATCTCTGTAAAAATAAATTGAATATTTTTGAAAATAATGGAATTATTGCAAAGAAATTTATAAAAAGCTTGTAAATAATTGAATTGATGTGAAATATTTGTTATTTATAAAAATAATAAAAGGTTTGCTTAGAATTTTATTAAAAAAATTTTAGAATAATTCATTTCTTGTGGAAAATTTTATTAAAATAGTAGATATTGAAAATCATTGAATGGAGGAGAATTTAAAAAAAATTTCAATTTATGAAAAAGAATTTCATTAAAATTTTTGAAAATAATTGAATTTTGGAGAAAAATTTTTATATTTATAAAGATAATTGAAATTTTGACGATAATTTTTTAAAACTTTTGACCATAATTGAATTTCTGCAAAAAATTTTATTACTTTTGAAAATAATTGAATTCTTGTGATTAAATTTTTTAATAATATTTCTTTTTAAATACCTAATTGAATTCTTTTGTGAAATTTTATTGAAATAGTAGATATTGAAAATAATTGAATTTTGATGAATTATAGAAATTAATGAAATTTCTACAAAGAATTTTATTAAAATTATTTTGAAAAAAATTGAAGTGTTAAAAAAAATTTCATTAATATTTTTGAAAACAATTTAATTCTTTCAAGAAATTTAATAAAAAATGAATTGACAATAATAATTAAATTCTAATAAATGAATTATGGAAAGGCATTTTAAAATAATTGAGTTTCTTTGATGAATTTTAATAAAATTTTTAAGAATAATGACATTTTTCGAGAAAAATAATGACATTTTCCATTAAAATTGTATTAAAAATAATTGAAATTCTACGATGAGTTTTATTATTTATGAAAATAATTGAATTATTGCGAAGAAAAATTGTAAAGGCAACTCTTTTAAAATTGAATTAAGAAATTTGAATTAGGAAAATTGAATTAAAGAAAAATTAGATTTCAAGAATAAGCACAATAACTTTAGAAAACAATAACTTTCCAGAATTCCAATCAAAATTCCCTGATTTTTCCAGATTTTTTCAAGGTTTATAAAATTCCCTGACAATTCCAGGTTTTCAGCTTGCGTGGCAACCCTGGTAAATTGTTAACTTTCGAATTTCGATTTCACACCTTTTGGAGTTATGGAAAAAGGAGTTATATTAACTCCTTCACTAAATGTATAACTACTCCCTAAATTTTCTACAGTGTAGAAAAAAAAATGTCCAACAGTCCAACAGTTGTAATATCACGTATACATACGTCCTCAGCGTACCTTCGATAATACTATTTTTTTCTTGATAAAAACTTTTCGTATATGCCAGCAAAATGCAAAATTACCATTTCGTTGATATATATTTATCATAAAGCACGCACATCGGTATATATATATATTAAAGATTGTGTTGTACGAGCGCATAGGTGGATTTTGCGTTATAATAAACCGTGGTCGACGTGGTTTGTCCATTCAGAGGTTGCATATTTTTTTTTCCTCCCTTATCGGGTCACAAGGGAGTGGCTTTTACTTTAATGCAACGATAGCACGATGAAGGAGAGTATGTGTGTAATGCGCCAGCGCGAAAATGATTTTTTAGTCGCGGGGGTGGCTTCAATGTTGCTTAGAGCCAACAACGATGGGGTGAATTTGGAGAGGGATGAAATTGCGCGTCAACGATGAAACGGATTGCGCGACGTTTTGGAAATGACGTCGCGCCGACGCGGCTCCACACGCATCCGGAACCAAAGAGCTTCTTGCTCATCCTCGCCCCCATTTTAACTCTCCCATTCGAAAGCCGATGAGACTTTTACTTATATGGTTTGGCACTTCATCTTCCGCATCCGACGGATCCAGCTTGTAACGAGATAAAAGTCTATTGTTTTTTTTTCTTATCAACAAATAAACAAAAAAAAAAAAAGAACTTTTTCCACATCGCGAAGACTGTCGTTCGTTTTGCGTCGTCCTGTTCTTGCGAGGCCGAAAAAAATACTGAACGGAACTACTCCAACGAAAGGGGGATAAGGAGCATTCTTTCCGGTTTTTGGGTTCTTCATCTGTTACGAGAGTTATAACAGTCGCCGACGGTGAGTAGCGATCCTGAATAAACAGTGGCCTAGATTTTTAAGAAATTTTTTTCTTTCCCGGAAAGCTCTCGGGTTTTATGGCTTCTTCTTCTTCTTCTTCTTCTTCTTTTTTGCTTTTATATTTTTATGCTTTATGGAACTTCTGAATATTGGGGGGGAAAAATAAATTCCATGGTTATAGTGGTTATTACGAATACACAGCGGGAAATTTATATCGCTGTTAGAAGAAACATATTTTTTAGTAACAATACACATGCTCTAGTTGAAGAAAAAAAAATTATTTTAGAAAGAAAAATTATAAGAATTTTTATTATAAGAACTTTCAATTTCAAGTATCTCTCTCTCTCTCTCTTAATATATTTTAATTTAGAGAGTAAATTCGAACGTCGTAAAATTAGCTAACTGTTAATAATGTGATAATGAGGTGCAAATGAATTATGAAAAAACTTTTCAATGATGATATTAATTTAATAATTAATATTACAATTTTTTATGATTATTAATCTATATTAATTTTTAATAAAATACATTCTCACTAATGTAGTACTTATGATATTAGAAATGAACCTCTTTGAAAGGAATTTATAACGTCAATTAGAAAGTGTTTTTCGAAAAAATAATGAAAAAGACTGAAAAGGTATTTTAACACTTCTTTGTGATTAATTTTCATATTACATATTTAAGCAGCACCTGGAGTTTCAAAATTACAATAATCCAAATGTTCGCTTTTTCATTTAAGTCGCACGGAAAAAAATTTTTAACTGAAAAAATTGCAAATTTCACTATATTAGCGAAATTATTAGTTGTTTCAATTAATAATTTTCCTACTCTAGACAAACTTATCCCTGTTTCAGGTGAAGTTTCCTTCCGTGTGACCAATTTTCAATCTATTAACAAGTATTATCAATTATTAGATATCAAAATTATTAAAAAATATATTAAAAATTAAAGGTATTAAAAATTGTTAAATATAATTATGAAAAAAATATTAAAACTTAAAGTTATAGGAATTATTTTTAAAAATATTAAAAATTTAAATTATTGTAAAATATTAAAAATTAAATTATTAAAAAGGTATTAAAATTATCAATTTAATTGTTAAAGAACTGTTGTAAACAATATACGCAACGTAAATATTATAAATTCTTTGATATTTTTATTTAGACTATAATTTTTAACGTGTCGTAACACTAACTACAATAATAAAATTATTGCTTCCTCGGGAAAGCATTTTTTAACCGAAAATTTTCAAACTCGATTTTTTCACGTTTCTTATACGTTTCCTAGCGCATAAGGAACTAAAAAATCACAATTTTAAAAAATTTTCATTCCGTGTGTGTACAAACATCACATTCTCAAAAAAAAAATTTGGAAAAAAGTTTCTTTTTTTTTGGTGTTTTTTTTTCATTTAAAAATGTTTTAAAATTTTTCAAAAAACGTTTTCTCTAAATTGAAAAAAATGTTCCGAAACCTATAAATATTTCTTTCTTGGTTTTTTAGCGCTTTTTGAGACGCATCTTTTGACTTCTTATGGAAAATTTTTCGATAATATTAGCCAAAGTTATTAACAATGTAAAAAATAAAAATTTGGAAAAAAGTTTCTTCTTTTTGTTTTGGAAATAAATTCACATCTAATTGTTCTTTTTTTTCCTTTAAATTTGTAGTACTTTTTGAGACGCGTATTTTAACTCCATATTGAAGATTTTTTTCGACACGTTGACCAAAGTTATTGATATATTTGAAAAATTAGAAATTTTGAAAAAAAACTTTTTATCTTTTTTTTTTGTATTAAATTTGCAATAAAATATATGAAAATAATGCAATTTATAAAATGCATAAAATGAAATTTTTATGAGGAAGCAAAGTATTCATAAAATAAACACAAAAATTGGTGCTTATTTGCAGTGGTTTTAAATCTTATTATTATAAATTATTATTAATATATATTATATATTGGACGGAAAAAAAGTTTTATCTGGAACAGCGATAAGTTTCTCTAAAATAGCAAAAGTTTTGACTGAAACAACTAAAAATTTAGCTAATTTAGTGAAATTTGTATAGTTGCTCCAGGTAAAATTTTTTTTCCGTACTTACGGAAAAAAAACTTCACCTGGAGCAACTAAAAATTTTACTGTAAATATTATTATATTGTTTATATATTATATATTTATTAATACAAATATTATTACATTATTTTCAATTTAAAAATTTTACTATTAAAATTCAATAAGATTTTTTTTGTAAATATTACTAAATGCACAATATGAACATTAAAAATATTATTGACACTAAATTAAAAAAAAAATTGTAGCATCCTTTGCGGATATACAGCGTGGAAAAAGTTTAATTGCGTCTCTCTTCTTTCTATAAATATATTACTGGTGTATATTAGCGTGAAGAACGCTTATTTGTATGAATGACGTTTAAATATTTACACAGCGCTTACATTCTCACCAATCGAATATATATATAGACATATATTTATATATATAAATATATGTGTATATGTGTATATCTATACATATATAAATATACGTATATGTGTACGTATATATATATATATATATATATATATATATATATATATATATATATATATATATATATATATATATAGATACGTAACAAATGGCTGGTTGTTGCTTTATATGGTCCAATAATTCGTTATAAAAACCAAATGGCCTGTTTAATTATTATTGCCTGCCTCAACAAAGTTGCATCGAAATTACGACAGGTGCAGCAGCTAGTGTGTTGAATATGCCATTCATTACGGAAATTGCTTAAAAGTACTCCACACTAATGGTGGCAAAAATTTTTTCCTTTTTTTTATTTTTATTACACATATACAAACCACTCAAATTGTCGTTAAATTTACTAGATTTTAGCCTTAAGTGAAAAATAATTTATCACCATAATAAATACAAATGTTAGCGTTTACAAAAAAGAAACAGAAAAAAAAATTCCATATCTAATTAATTCAAAATTTATTTTCTTGTTGTTTTTTTTATTGTTTCGTAATCTTCTCATAAGAAAATATATATCTCTAGTAGGGAAAATTTTATGTTTGAATCAATTTTTATATTTTCTTTATAAACTTAGTTTTTAAAAATTGAATTTTTATTTCATTGAAATCAGTTTATTGCAGAATTTGTATAAATGTTCATTTTGTTTAAATTTAAAAAATTTGGAAATTTGGATAAATTTTGTATTCGAAGAAGAAAGAATTTGGTTACCTAGAGGTAACTTTTAGTTTTAGTTAATATTAAAAAATAAAAAAAATAATAGTAATAATAATAATAATAATAAAAGTAATGATAATAATAACAAAAGTAACAAAGAGTAACAGAATTTTATTATTTAATAAGTCAGTTTTCTATAATAGTAACAAAAAAAATTATAATAATAGGTAATAAAAAAAACATTTTTTAAAATGTTTTCTATCGTTGAAGCAATTTTTTTTAAAATTATATAAATATTTTTAATTTTTAAATAGCAATAAATCTCGTCACCTTCGAAAAGTTACCGATTTTCCGTTAATTCTGTCAGTTTATATTATATTTTATGAGTTACGGTCAACAAAAATTTTTTTTTCATAAGGGGTTTTCCAATACAGTAGGAAAATAATAAAACCAGAGCAGTTTTTACACATAGGGTCACAGCAGCCTTCACCTAGATTTGAAAAATTGGATTGTATTCGTGTTTTGTTTTGTACGTATTTATTCTTTCTTAATTTGTTCCACCGCTGTAAAAACGTTTCCGGTAAAACATTCCAACCGCAGCCCTTTTGTTGAAATTCTGCCCAAAGGGTAGTTATATAAAGTCGGGGGACTTCTGTTTGAGCTGTGAGAATTCCATTGCGGTCCGAGAGAAACGCGAGGAAATGATTTTTCAAGGATAAAGAAATCTCACACAAATTCTGTCATAATATAGAGTAAACCTTAGAGGTCGTTGCTTCATTTTTTTTTCTTCCTTCAGTTGTATTCGAGATTTTGTTTGAAAACGTTCCGGTCGGTCTGCTTTTTAAAAATTAATTTTTTTTACTTACTTATTGTTTTTAGTTTTTTTTTTATATTTTTACCATAAACTTTTTAACGTGTATATTTATAATTTATATACGTTAAAATTTTAATTTGTTAAAATTATTTATTGTATAATTTTTTCAATGTTAAATTTTCATTTTTA